CTCGAACCGTAGAAATATTTTAAAACATTTTTCGCCAGCGTTAAAAATTTTTAATTATCGAATGGGGAGGTGGCTCGAGAATTACGTGTTATGTGATTCATATGACTTTTGGGCGGGGTTCGTGATTAAAGCGAGAATTTTTTGGAATTATTTAATTAATTTATATCTTTTGGTTAGTCATATTTATTTTAGTGCACATATAATACTAATAAAGTTTTATCTAATTAGGGTCCCTTGTTTTACCTATTTTATTCATGAGCAAGTGGGTACATGAATATTAAGTATGCAAAATCAGAATAATTTAATTAGACCGTTAATTATCAATTTATCCGGCCAGTCAATTAATGAATTTTGCATAGGATTAATAGACAGTTTTAGCATTATCTAGCTATAATTTCTAATACTGCTATTACTATGTAAATTTAATAGTTTTAGTTGCAATTCTCATCTACATTGTGAAACATTCAAATGAAGAGCTCATCATTTTCCGATCGCAATTATGTGTCACAAGAGCATGAAATTTGAACATAAACTAGTTAAATATTCTATTGCAGCCACATTAAAATTCAGGTAGACTATAAAATCGGAAATTAAAGAGGTATAAAAATGAGTTTTGATTATTCAAGCTAACCTGGAGAAAGAATAATTGAAGTTACCACTGTTCGAAGACCTACTTATAAATTTCTAAATAATTAATACATGCATTATGTAATATTAATCATAATTTTTATTTTTTACAATTAAGTGGGTGCTACTCTTGCTTACAATTAATGAAATTCCATTAAGCAATAATTATTTCGGTAATTTACTATATTTGAATCAAGTTTCATACTTATTCATGAAAAATTACAATATAATTCAAAATCAAATGGAAGCGATGACCTTTCGCTACGAAGAAACAAGCACGGTAATAAATGAGAATCAACTGAACGACGGGAATCAAGCAGAACTCTATAGAGATAATCCCCTTTCAGGGCAGTAAAAATGTTTTCGCGTTAACTAACGTTTTATAAATTGAGCGAGAAAGTTGCACGGTCGTTCTTAATTTGATATGAATGAATCGACAAGCGTATATAACCTACGAGAGTGAAACGAAATTAATATTTAGCGATACTTCTATGCTATTTACGATTCCACCGTAACGGTACATTTACCTAGCAAAAACTGTTATTAATTCACCTCGAACTTCCTAACATAAATATAACTTTATAGGGCAGCCAAAAGTATTTAATTCAATTCCAAACATCCTAAAACCCCGATGTCCCGATATTAATCAAATATTAGTCAAATAAATTTTATATTTCAGATTTTCACGAATTTCAGATTTATTGTTTCCAAAGAATTCAATTTTCTTTTCAATCGCTCGCCAAATAAATTTTCAAATGTGAAATATAATTTACGAAACAAAATTTCCTAGAAATATCCCCATGTAGCTACGTGTTACACAAGCACGATATTTCTACCTGAACTCATGATCAACCGAGAGAAACACGTTGTAAATATTCCATCTCCCTTCTCGTAAAATCCGTAATACAACCTCGTCTTTAACCGAAATCGATTCGATTTCATGGAGCAGCATTCTGGAAACGGGAAGCTCGGTAAGAAAGTACGAAGGATGTCGGACGACTGAAATTAAATGTAGTAATTTCGCAACAGCAACGTCTTCGTCGGTTGAAGAAGAAGATAAATTACCGATGTGCCACTGATCGATCGCGTGGAGCCCGACGTAGTCGGTTAAGTGGGAAAGAAAGCTTCTAATCGAACGTGATCGAATTTACTCGAAGTCTGTTGCACTCTCCTTGTTTCCGCCTCGTTGGCAAAAACGCTGCCCTGATAGCAGCGAACGCTATCGAAAGAAACACTTGACAGTTGACAATGGCGTGCTGCGACGAAACGGAGAAGCACGATCGTCGGATGCTGCTATCTGCAGACGCGAGAATAAGATGTAATCGAACTGCCGTGGAACAGGAATCGACAAAGTGACGTTATAATTCGTAATTTTAAACGAAACGTGTAATAAATTTAAGTGAGTCGCGAAGGATGTTGAGGTTATGTTCCGTCGCGGCGAAGATCGAAGACGCAGACCAAATTAGAATTCTAAATTAAAGACAAATTAAGATCAAGTTAATCATTTGAAGCAGTAAATCACAATCATAACTATTAAATAGAATTTTAAATGCGAGACACGTAATTTTATCACCTAAACATAACCTCAAGAGAGTATCGTATTTCTCGATATCGTTATTCGATTAAAATAAAAGTTACTGCCCGATTTTTTTTTTTTTATAAAATATTAAGCATCGATTTCTTAAATTTCATATCTCGTAGCGCTCATAGAATAGAAAGCAAATTAAATTGCAATTTCCAGCGAAGCTATCTCTCGAATATTAAATCCCCAGAATTATACCCACCGTTTTCCTCGCTTCGTCAAATCGCCGCAAATTTATTTTACATCTCCACTTCGTTAATTAGCGCGGCAACGATTTCGGGGGGCGGGGGGGAACAAAACGAATGAAAACGGAACAAAAACCGCGGTGGAAAAAGAGGAGGGGTCGGAAGAAAAGAGATTTCAATGCCCTTGTCGGGGATATTTAACCACTAGGGAAACCGATAAATCGCGACCATCCCGCATAAATTCCGGAAACGATGTGGACGGGATGAAAAATCCTGTCTCGCGTCCGCGAAATTGCTCCGTACGAGTGGCTCGTTGGCGCTGGCGAGACGCGGATAATTTTCCTCGTTGTTCGTATCACGCCGACAACAATCTCTCGCCGCATACGAGACGACCACCGCGACGAACGAGTGAATCGACGACGGTGCTCGAGAGTGCTCATTAATTTGGTCGAACGACAGGATTATTGTGCGATCGATCAAAAAGTACCGGTGCAAAATGGTTTCGCTTCTCGCCCCTTTAACACGTCACTGGCGGCGGTGCGTATGCCACGCGTGCGCGCGTGCGCGGAGTCAGGTCGCTTCAGTCGTTGGAGACCAGTGGCGTAGCTCGGCCATTTCCTCCTTTTCTTTTGCCAGTCGCGCGACCACTCCAATTAGATTAATTAAGCCAGCCACACGTACATGCATCACGGGATGAAACAATGGCCGCAGTGTTTCTGGTGAGGCGCGAGGAAGGTTGGAGAGAGGTCGGGGACGAGGATGGGGGTCACAGCGACGGAATTGTCACACGCCAGAGAATTTCAAGTAGATCCGCTCGCTTGTATGCAATCTCCGGCCGAGAATGGGCAAGCGTGATCGTGCGGCCTGCTGCAACGGCCAGGCCACCCTAAAAGAAGCGTATAAAGCTCCGTTAATCCGTGTCCGGTGCACCGGAATCCAGTCTAGATAGACCCACAAATGGCCACGGCAATTTCATTTGCAGAGGGTGGAATCGTTAATCAAACCCGTGCCACGGTGAATGCGCTAGAAGCCTGCGACTGTTCTCGTCCCTCGTCACCGCTGGTCTGCGTTTTTCTCGTTGTGTATATTCCGCTCGCACGCGCGCGTATGTGTGTGTACGTATGTACATACGCGGCGTGCACATGGCGTAATAAAACGAAAATGCTGCGAAGAAAATGGAAAAAAGAGAGAAGTACGTGAATGTTTGTACGAAGCGGGTCGCGTGTATAAAGTTGCACGTTTCAAAGGAGTCTAGCCGCGCGCGCACTTATTTCCTCGACCCTCTCGTCATGCGGAACGTAAAAATTTATTAGGGCATGCTGAAATTTTGAGCAACGCACGTGGACACTTGTTCGTGTCTTTTTCTTTCATCTTTTTATTTGCACCGCGGTATAGTCAGGTTATCGAATCGTTTGCAATTGGTTCTACCACTAATGTCATAATTCAGTTTTATAAAATATTTGCTGCATATTTTTATCATAGTTAATATTGCTTTGTATGCAGTACTATTGCATTATTCTAGATTTTCTACTTTCTACCTACTTTTATTTAAATAGGCTTACATCGTGAGGAGGTGAATAGAAATATTATTAGCTCTAGAACTATTGTCCTGCTATGGTTACCTATATATATTTTACACAAAGGAAGATAATTTTAGTGCTACGAAAAAGACAAATAACTTTAAAAAATTATGTTCCATCGCGGAACAAAGACAGGCTCGATAGACCCTGTTACGGACCTTCAACGGTCAAAGTCTAATTGCCCGAATGACAAGAACATAGAAATTTTCTAACGTGCCATATGGTCGTGGCGAATAGTGGGAAATCTTCCTGCTTATTGTTTTGACTGGTACCAAAATACGCGAAACAATGCGACCCTCGTGCAATAAAGTTTGGCGACAGCACTTGGGATTTGGCTTACAAAGGGTCTGTGGAGAGGTAGCAAGAGTACACGTGTGTCGTACACTTAGACCTCGGCGGGATAAGGAGCCATAAACAGATATTTTCCAGACGCGGTCATTTTCGGCAGGGTCACGAACGTGCGGGAGATCTTTATGCACGTCACCTTGAGGGAAGGGGTTCTTTTCTTCTTTCTCGGGGTCCTCTTCTCTTCTCTTTTTCGATCACTTGGACTGATTGCGTTAAATCAATTTGACGGATAACGCTGGCAAAGCATAGCGTGGCGAATACCGAATTTATCGAAGAATTCAATCGCGACGCGACAATTATGTTTCGATTTAAATGGAAGCAAGCATAAATTTTGTCAAAAGCTGTTCATACGATCTCATTAACTGGATAATTAAAATATCTAAAACAAGTCATTGTGACCACTTTGGTGATTCTACTATTAATGCTTTATTTAGAATTGCTGCTATATTCTGATACTATGATTTAATAATATAACATTTTATTTATATTTCTCATACTTTATATTTTCAACAACAGTTTCACATATATAAGCGTGTATCATAACGAGGTAAAAATAAATATAAAATCAATCATATATACATATGCAGCACATATATAATAATTAATATAACATAATATAGTAATTCAATTGGAATAAAATCCACCTTTTCAACAACAGCAAAGGAAAAAAGGAGAGAACTAGTGCCCCATCTCGTGTTCCCATTTCTCGCCATAGTCATGAGTTCCTTTCTTGCCATGACGATAATCATTATGATAATAATCTTCGTGATCCCCGTGGCCATAATGTCCTTTATGATCCGTCTGGTGGTGTCCTTTTTTGTAATAACCCTTATTACCATGACCTGCCTGGTGTCCGTCGCGATCATAGTGACCCCCTTTATAATGTCCACCCTTTGTTTGCGCGTAACCGTGATGATGACCGCCGTCATGGTCGTCGAAGCCGAAATCGTAATCCTCGTCGTGAAATTCCTTGTGCTTCTGATATTCGTCCAATCTCTTCACCTCGTGGTGACCGTGGCTGCTGTGCCCTTTCCCATAATGCCCCTTGTCATGGAACTTTCCGCCTTTCTCGCCACCCACGCCCTCGTGATACTCGTCGTGGAAACCGTCATCGTAATGATGATGCTTCCCTTCACCGCCGTGATCGCTATAATACCCATAATCCTTGTCCTTGTCGTGGTGACCTCTGCTAGCCTCCTCGAAGTCGTGGTGATACCCGTAGCCCTTGTCATGGTGATCACCTGCCTGGTCGCCGTGAAAAGCGAAACGGTCGCTCTCGCCACCTTCCTCGTATCGATATAAATGAAAAGTATCCGCTGGCTCCAGGTCCTCGTGATTAATGCCAAACGTGGAACTCTCGGGCGCCAAAATGACCAGGAGTATCAATAGCGGCGGTGCACCACGTACGGCAAACATATCGGTTTTCTTTAATCTGCTGCTGGCCGAGTTCCTATTTTTCAAGAAGCGCAAATGTGTATCTAAAGTTGGACGATACGGTTGATTGGAAGAGTATATATTGATTCGCGGTTGGCTGCTTCGCGTCTCGCTGTATTTTTCTTGCACGTCTCCCGGTGAGAGCAAAATTCCAGGAAAAGGATTCGTCGTTCTCTGTGGGGGTAGATTAAGTTTAGAAATTGTTTCTCATGTAGATGGCGGTTAGTCTTAGCAAGAATCGCCCGTGGTACAACGTGAATTAGGTTTCGAGAAATATCAACTACTTTTTAGTACACGGTATCGAAACAGTTTATGGTATGCTTATGAACGTCTATGAAAATGATGACAACAATGGGAAAGTGATATTATAGGTTCGAAACTTGCTGAAATTTCCGATATAACTTTCGGGTCTGGGTATGGAGTAGGTTATCGGTTTCTATAGTTTGGCAATACTCGAGGTCATAACATCAAGCTTAGAGATGAATTTACCACATTGCTGTTATTATTACTGTTACTGTATATATAGTAATTATATATATAATATAAATAATGTGTATTAACAAATTGCAATAGAGAGGCGAATCTCACTCGTGATTTGTATTAATTTTGTAATGTAAATATTGAGTTAGAAAATAATTATACGTTAAGTACTGTAATAAAATAATTCTATTTTTTTTGTCGCAGCATAAGGAGTATCAACGATTTCATCAAAATATAAGGAAAGATTCGAATTATTGTTACTTTGTAACGAAGACTCCTCGAGTGCAAAATGTTAATCGAGTAATAATATATAATACGTAATATGCAGTGGTATATATTACAACATATATATAGTAATATAAATATTATTATTATATTATAATAACATTATAGTATACTATATATAGTTTACAATATACGTACATTATTACTGTTATGTGTAATAGTATATATATAAATAATTTTATTCCCATCACGATACATAATTAACATACTAATTCAAATTCCTCAACCACCATTCTGTAAAACTCATATATCGTGTAGCAACTTCCATGTTTCCCTTATCACGAAAGTAGTGATAGCAAAGTTCAATCAACTATTACAAAGTGCATCATATTAAAAATACTTTCGGTGGTCGTTTTATTTACCTGTCTCACTGACTCGCAACGCGCTCGTGGATTAAACGCAGCCCTGAGTAACAATCAGCGCGGAGGATTCGTTCGCGGATATTCGTTCGGAATTGTTGCGCGACAAGTGGGTGAAACCGGCGATATTACGGCAAACTAGCTGGCTGCTACGGCCAATATGAATCGGATGCGCGAAAATCTAACTTTTATATGTCCTTCACCTGCGGTACCTCTATGCACCGCCGGCCGGCATTAGGAAAAACGTGCAAAACGTTACCGGAGCCGCTGGGAGCGCTCGTGAAGGGAGACTGCACGCTCTGATTTCTGGCCCACGCCGTTAGAGAACACATTTGCTACGTGTTACGGCACTTAATGTGCCGCTGTGTGAATTCCAATGTTTTGTAACCCCCGTTCACCCCGTTTCTCCTCGGCAGCAGGTTACGTAACACCGTTTTGCGAAACGCCGATGTGACCGACTCTAACTTAGTCACGGATTCCTTCTCTTTTGTCGCATAACGTGAAGGTATCGCGAGTTTTGAATAGGAGTCTGTGATTTGAGAAAGGAAAAAAGGTACACGAGGTACGGGATTGTAGTTTAAGAGGCAGAGAAAGTGATAAAGGTGGTATTAGTCACGGTGAAATTTCCTGTGAGCGATAGTGGCGCCATTGTGGATTATCACGCGCAGCAATTTCGCGCATTAGGTACAGTGCATACGAGGGATGGAACGTTCTTGCGATTCCGTACAGGTGGCGCTGTGCGATACAAAGGATTTATGTTTTTTGTGATGTAGCGTGAATATATTCTGATGCCTGGACGATTGGAGGTACGTCTGATGCGGTGGTAATAATTGAAACGTGCTTGTAGAGAAACAGAAGTACGATTTATCAAAGATGTAACGTTTATTGTAGAAAAATTGAATAAATTTCTTTGTCTTGCTGATACACAGAAATATTCATTGGATTTTCTCTTTTTCAATGCTGAGAAGAAATTTTTTTATTATATATCAGCGTGAAAGGAAATCGTCACGATATTGAATGATTGAAACAGCTGTCATTTATTTCTTAATTAAATACTTCGACGAGTGAAGCTGATAAGGGATGTCTGTTTCTGTATCGTATTATAGACACTCGATATCGTTGACATTTGTAAAATGATCTACAATTGATTCTGCAATCCAAATTGCTTTACATTGTTTCCTTTGCTACAGTAGTGGTAGCTGCAGTCGAAGGACGATTGTATTACAAGGGTGTAGCCATTGAATCTGTTCTCGTCGAAATCTATTGGTTCTCTCGTCCTTTAAGAGTAACATGTAGAGAGGATTGGCAAGGTGTTAGATTTATCTTTCAATAGGGTCGGTTTATAAATGTGTATTAATGGTTTATTTCTGAGTTTAGGAAAATAAATCGTAATGGAAAATGTTTCTTAATTAGTAATATTTATTAATTTCAAAACTAAAATTTACTTTTCTTTTCAGTATCGGAATAATACATCCGGTCAGGTTATCAATTTTGACTGATTTACTGTGTAAAATATTTTTATTCCGATTTTCAGATCTTAGATTAAGGTTGACATGATGGAAAAATAATAATAGTTTCGTGACACTGATATTTGTATGAATTATCTCTCTGCATGAAATAATTTTAAATTTTACGTAAATAGGTTTGTAATAAATGAGAAGTAATTTATACGTATTTTGTATATTTCTCTTCTTCTCAGCATTTCACAAAAAATTTCTCATACTTCAGCCTTCTGTTGAATGAACTTTATATTTTATAGGAACGTTAGAAGTGTACATAATATTATTTATTTTAATATCAACAAGTTTCAGGAATACATTATATTACATAATTTCGAAAATAAACAAGGTACGTGTAAAATAGTATAAAAAATATAAAGGAGTGTATTTCGACGAGTAAAATAGAAGTTTATTTGTTCTGGGACAGTTTTATTATTAAAACAAAACGTGACAAATTTCGCATTTCAGCGTCTAAAATTAATCAACGACGAAATAAAAAACAAATAAGGCAATAAAAATAAGTAAATTTCATTGCTTTTCCTCCGTTTAACGATGATGGTGCCCACCGCCGCCACCACCACCTCCATGACCATGACCTCCACCGCCTCCATAGCCATGACCACCGCCTCCTCCTCCATGACCACCACCTCCTCCTCCATGACCATAACCACCTCCTCCTCCTCCATGACCACCACCTCCTCCTCCATGACCACCACCTCCTCCTCCATGACCATAACCACCACCTCCTCCTCCATGGCCACCACCTCCTCCTCCATGACCACCACCTCCACCTCCATGACCACCACCACCTCCTCCATGACCACCGCCACCACCTCCATGACCACCGCCACCTCCTCCATGACCACCACCTCCTCCTCCTCCTCCGCCACTTCCTCCGCCACTCGAAAATCCATGTTTCTTTCCTCCATGGTGCTCTTCCTTTTTGCCATAATCCTCATGATGCGAATGATGTTCGTCATGCCCATGTTTTCCATGGTGTCCCTTATGGTCTTCATCATAGTGTCCTTTATCGAAGTGTCCTTTCTTCCCATGGTGATCCTCATGGTGTCCAGAGTGATGATGACCACCCTTCTTGTGGTGGCCATCTTTGCTCTCATGGTGTCCATAGTGATTTCCATGTTTCTCGTGATGACCACCCTTATGATAATCATCGTAGAACTTATGTTCCTTATGATACTCGTCCTTGTGGGCTTTGTGATGGTAGCCATGGGTTTTTTCACCCTTCTTGTGACCTTTCTTGTGTCCGAACTTTGAACCCTTATGTTCGTCTCCATGCTCGTGATGGTGTCCGTGTTCCTCGTGCTCGTCATGGTGACCTTTCTTATGTCCGCCGTGTTCCTCATGGTGACCTTCATCGTGATGCTTACCGTAATGACCATGATCACCCTTGTCGTGATGATGATCGTGCTTGTACCCTTTTTCACCCTTTCCACCGTGTTCCTCGTGATGGTAGCCATGATGGTCATGACCACCACCTTCCTCGTGATGGTGGCCATGGTGGCTGGCTGCCATCTCTAGGTCCCTTCTGTCCCCTAGTTCCCTAGACGTGGACAGGGAGACGAGTGTGCAGACCACGGCTAGGCCGAGGCAGAGCCACAAACTCTTCGCCATGTTGGTGCTTTGGGTACCAACAAGTGCTATCGACTGATCATGTCGCTTTAATGCAAAGCTTATATACCTGCCGTCATAGTGGCGTTTCATACGTAATCGCTTTCGTTCCTACGCAGAGCTGGTTGCTGCTGTTGTACGACAGTGTTCACCGTTATTTGGATGAGTTTACACTTTGATGCAACTTCATTCGTCTGTCAGACTGGTACGGTAACTTTGTGTTCGATCTTTAGTTTTTTAGTTATTCCATTTTGTTACCTTGTATTATAATTATTTGCTTTCCATTTCTTTCATCAGTCATTCCTTCTTTGACGATTTAAAATAGTAAGGTAAAGGGTCCAGCTAAATATCTTGCTATAAAAGTATTCGCACTAATTCGTTCATAAGTTATTCCAGTGCGCTGTTTTAATTAGTTAATAAATTTTTTTTCTTTTGTTTGAATTGCTATATTTTCCTTTCTTTCTTTTCTGTCATTGAATTTGGAATTTATGTCGAATCAGAATAATCAGTTGGAATGTTCAGCTAAATATCCCAATATTGAAGAAGAATTCATAGAATTCTAGCTCCTATTTAGAAACCTTTCCTTAATATTACTATGATTAATCCCTTGCATTACAGTGACGAGTTTTTCAAGTCAAATTACATAGTGACTAGCTACACTCGTACGATTAAAACTGCCATATTAACAAATTAATATTATAATAGTAATCAGTAATTTATCAAATATATGAAACGTAGCATGGAATATGGTGTTTCTTGTGGGTCTCTGTAGTGGCTAATTAAGTTTAAAGTTATAATTAGAAATTGAAAATTGTGCTAAATTAGAGAAACTCAATTTGTTCAAATTAAATGGAATTAAATACCAAATTTTTAATATCCTGAACCCATATTTAATGAAGTGCTTCAGAAAGGAGGTAACAATTAAATTAAATTTGAGCCAAATTTCACTTTCATAATGACAGATTGTTGAAATTCGACCACTACAGTTTAATTTACTAATCCCCGTGACTCTAAGGGTTTTCAAACTGGCAGCTCATTTCTTTTTCCGTGATTGCTACAATTTTACAAATGCTTTGACAGAATTGCTGCTAACTTTCACCAAGATAGAAGCTTGATTATTTTTATCATTTGAATTAGACTCGTGTATTACTATAATTTATTACAATTTAAAGAAGCTCTACATTATTTATTAAATAGACTGCAAACTATATGATCTACGCATTTGTCAGAAAAAATTAATGAAGTCGGCTTTTATCCATATTTTTATGCAGTAAAATCTACTGATCCTTACTCTCCACTTATAAATTATTTTTCGCTAACTTACATTGCTCAATATATGACAGTAAGTTAATAGGTGATTTTTCACTACGTTAATCCGACCAATAAGCCGATTAACAGGCTTCCGGTGGTCAATTGATGACATAATACAACCGATTAATAGGCTGTGTGTAGATGGTGTGATGAAGTTGTCGTTACCTAACTGTTATTGGTTCATGGTCCACATCCCCGCGATCATTCGAATGCAACCTACACGCGCAAAATAGGCACCCGAAAGATTAAATATCGATCTCGATAAGGACACGGTTTTTCCAGACGGCTAGGGACAATCAATGATTTTTCTGACTAGGGGGCAATTAACTGTGAAATAAATTAACGTTATTTGCTCGGGACGTGGAAAGTACAGGGACAAATCAAGCATCGCTAACGCGACACCCGATAAAAAGCCAATCAATTTGCAGACGGCTGAATAACGGTAGAACGTTTATTACAAAACAGGCTGGTAATATGAAAATATTGTTTTCACCGTTCACCGAACTTCTTTCTGCAACGATAGTTTCTCGCTTTCGTTCCCGATTCAGTATTGGGCAAAAGTTATTTCGATCAGACGAGCAAAAAGTCGACGAATAAATCGAATTTATTCGCAAAATCGCATTTAAATCGAAATTTCGCGAGTAAAAGGCGGCGAATAAATTCCTTTTCGCGGGAAACTTTATTCAAATTTTATTCGAGTATCGTTCGTCTCTCAAATACACCATCAGCAATCTTTTGTGGGTATGCTGGATTAAGCACAGTGGCGTAGGAAGAAAGTTGGACCGTGTTGAATTTTATGAACGCTTTTTATACCCCTGGGTACCCGGATAGACATCCTGGTCAAATAGATATTTCAGAATCTATTAGGTATCGAAATCGAATATCGAATGAACGAGTTGAATTCATTTGTTCCGGTAGAATTTAGTTAAACGAAATTATTCGTCGCTAGAACGAAAGTATGGGATATTTACATAGACGTCCTGACTGTGTATTATGCTCGAATGGATATTTTCGTATCTGTTAGATATTGGAATGGAACGTTGATCGGACGAGTGAAATTGATTCGTTCGTACGAAGTTTGGTTAAATGAAATGATTTATTATTCCTACAAAGGTTTGAGATATTTAAATAGAAATTCTAACAGCGTACTTTGATGAAGCAAATATTTCAAAATGAATTAAAAATTGAAATGAAATGTACGTGTGGAATTAATTTAACGAAAATTTCGTTAAATTGGAATTTATTTTAATTGCATTATTTATTATCACAAAAATTAATTCGATCAGTGACTTTCTTAAAGTAAAGTATACCCTACTTAGAAGCGTATTTTGGAACGTATTAAAGATGGAAATAGATTTTCGACGAAACGAGGAAAGCAAGTTCAATTGAAAGACTTCATTTATTCTTAAAATAAAGATTAATTTAAATTGAATTTCTTCAACACTGCAACGTTCAAATAGATTGAGTAATTTTAGCCACGCTGACATTTCTGTGTCCATTGGAGTTTGAAATAAAATATTCAGTAAAGAGGTAAAATTAATTATTTTAAACTGAGGTTCTAATAATTTTTGGAGTATTCGGCCAATGCTCTTTCAATTCTAAAATAATCAAGTACCCATCCACTTATCCACATTTATCCAAATTATATTTATTTGCCGACGTTACTTGTAATCGTCTTCTCAAATTGTATACTGCAAAGTTAAACGAAGATGACAAGGTGTAAAAATGTCAAATTCAGTCGAACACAACGATTACGTTCGCGATACTAACAGATCAACCGTGTCGAGAAATTCCATAAAAGGAGCACGATCTATCTACTTTGCGGTCGCTGAACAACGAAAGTACATTCGTGCCGATATATACAGCGCCATCAATATTCTTCTGCATCACTATCAAAACCATGATCCCTTCTCGATGGACACCTCGAACCTAACCTAAACGTCCGCCATTTATCAACACCTATTTCATCCCAAATCGCAACTCGGAGTTGCTAAAATTCATGATACCCGATCACGGACAGAAGCCAACAGCACAGAAACTCCTGCACGCTCGCGAGCAACCTCAAAAACGCAAAACAGACTTATGTCACGTGGCGAAGAACCCAAATCCGTGGAAAAACATGGAAAGTGTGCAGAACGGACGAGAAAAAGAATAGAACGGAGAAGGAGAGGGTCGTTGTAGGAGAAAAGGATATTGTTTACATGGACCGATGTTTCACCGACAGTTTGAGCAAGAGATTTCGACCTGGTTGCATAACGGTCTCGATTGACGGCGCCGGATCGGCTGAAATCGACGAATATTGCCAACTAAGCGGGTTAAGGAGACGTTACTTTCGCAACGCGGTAAAGAGCCAGCAACGGAACCGTTGCTTCCTTAATATCGATTATTCCCCGTTCGATATATAATCCGGGAGTGGTGACCGGATTAATCATACCGAACGCAGCGCCGGAGTCGAGCGTTTCGATACTATCGATCGTACCAGACGCGATCAGTCCGCCATCATGAGACCCATGTCCGCGACTTGGCTCTTGCTCGCCTGCGTCGTCTGCCAGCTGGGCTGGCTCATGGCGCGTGAGATCGGCAGAGTGGAGGACGACCTGGCCGTGGCCGCGTCTCATCATCATCAGCATCACGAGGAAGGTGGCGGCGGTGAACATCACTCCGATCATCATAGCAAGCACGGCGACCACAGCGATAAGGGGTACAAGTCATCTCATCATCATGACAAAGGGGAGAAGGGACACCACGACAAGGACAAGCACTCTGGCCACTACGGCGAGGAAGAGGGCCACAAGAAGAGCCACCACCACGATGATGGCTACTATGCCGAGCACCACAAAGGCGAGAAGGGAGAGAAGGGTCACAAGTTTCACGAGGAAGGTCATTATGGGAAGGGACACAAGACCCACGGTCACCACGAGGTGCACAAGCTAGACGAGTTCAAGAAGGACAAGGAGTTCTTCGATGAACATCACGATTCTGGACATCACGAGGATCATGGTGGTCATTATCATGAGCATGGGCACAAGAAGGGTGGACACTTTAAGAAGGGACATCACGATCATGGCGATCACGAGGATCATTACGGGAAGAAGGGACACTACGAGAAGGGGGATCATCATCACGATCATAAGGGGCACAAAAGCGAGGGTGGACACGACGAGCATCATGATCATCATTCTCATCATGGGAAGAAAGGAGGCCATGAGGATCACAAGAAGTGGGGTTTTAAGAAAGGGCATTGAGGGTGATTAGTATGGGTTGTTATGTTTGTTGAGCATCGTGTTATGTTGATCTTTGTATCTGATCCAAATAAACGCAGTTTTTGAAATAATTTTATGTAATTGGCAAAAATATTCTCTTTTTCTGTAGTAATTATTACTTCTGTGGGATTAATTTCACGTTTATTCTTTTTTCTACAATGCAAATGTAAGAAATAGTTTGGATAATGTAATGTTTAATTTATTATATTCAAACACCAAGATCCTTCTGGTATTCACCAATTAACACCTGAAATGTAAATATTTAATTTTATATATTTTATTATGTAATGTCCATAAACTTATTGCTTAATGTGTTCGAGGAAATAGAAATTTCACTCTTTCGCCATATTCCCGTAGGAAAAAGTTCTTTCGTGCAGGATTGAAAATGTTTCTTTGAGAAGTATAACAAAGTATTCAACGTGAAATAGACTGAAACTCTGGGATTATTGAGAATCTTACTTTTGGTCATATTTCTGTGGTTAGGTTAGGTTGGGACACTTTGTCTCACAATGTCTACATAGCCATCGATTCATAGTTATTCTTACGATAGTTAAGTTTTTACACTGGACATGCTACGGTACGTTGGCAGCCCTTAAAAAATTAGGTCAATAACACTTTCTAGAAAAGTTACCTCATTCGATTAAGTAACAGTGTTGTCGTTGTAACACCTTAAAGTCCAAGTCAATTTCTGATACAGCCATAATAGACATATACTAATTGCCAAATACCTTTAGTTAAAGCATAAAGAAATTTACTCGATCAGAAAGTGTGAAGGTTCTAAATGTGGCTAATATTGAAACCAGCAAATCAATTAAAACGACAGATTTAGGCGAAATAAATTATTTTACTGTATTTTTTATACCATTTTACTACTTATATATATACTGCAATTAATAATATAAATAAATAAAAGCTTAAATAATTTTTAATAACACTTTAACATTCTATTATTTGTATATACTGTATTGCTATAAATAATGAAAGAAAACTGAAATAACTTATTATTATTATCACACATACTCTATAATATAAATAAAACAATAACAGGGTATGTGATATAGAGATTGCTTGGAATATCGATTAACGATCCTCTTTTTGGAATTTATGCTCTTTGGTGGATTTTGAATCCTCTTCGATACCATAATCCTCGTGATTCGAGTAATACAATATATCGCCTCCTTCAGCCTGGTGACCTTGATCCTGAGTCTCGCTGTGCCCCTTATCGTAATGTCCTTTCTTCTCGACGTCCTGATAATCGTGTCCGGAAGAATGATGTCTGCCTTCCTTAAAATCACCCTCGTCGCTCTTGTAACCTTTGTTGAATTCCTCGTACTCGACGAAATGGCCCTTCTTATGGTCATCGTCGTAGAAGTCCGTCTCCTTCTTGTATTCGTCCTTGTGATAGACATTGTGGAAACCATTAGTTTTCTCCCCCTTCTTATGGTACGACGACTGACCGTGGCTCCCGCCCTCTTTGCTCTTTTCTACCTCTTTGTGGGAACCGTGCTTCTCAGATTCGTCCACGTGTCCTTTCTCCTGTTCACCTTTGTTCTCGTAGTATCCTGGACATTTAGAAGCAATTATATGATTAAAAGTACACTCATAGTTATTTAATTCTGGTTTCATTTTAAATACGTATTTCATTCTGACAGAGGAAATGAAATTCCTTGTATTAAATATTGAAAATAATGTTTAACATTGGCAGTAATATGAAAAGACAGTGCTCAAAGTTCTAGAAAGTAGCATAGACTATATTGTACGTAGATGAGAAGATGGCCGGAGGGACATTAGTACACGCTAGGCTACAGCAGATGGCACTGTCACTACGCCTTTCATTTTCTTTCGCACCTATGACGCCATGTTCTGCTTTTCTTGATTCACATAACGCTACGAATTATAATTACAATGTAATACACAGTTTGTTCCTCCAGAAATCACATTTGATACTTCCAAAATTAGTATTTCCAATTTTTCACTACATACGTAAGCATAGTTGTAGAACGAATTACGACACCATTCGGTTAATTTCTAATTTAATACTGTATAACCTCATTTATAAATTTGGTACATTCGATCAATAATAAAGAACGTTCTATTGCACTATGACCAATAAGATCCCCGGTTCCTTCACTAACCATCGTCTCACCTGCACTTCAAATCAAACACAAACCTTGCTCATTCTCTCTATCGTTACTACCACGTTCATCTTTGCTGAATTCCTTCTCCGTCTTATACCCCTTTTCACCCTTCTCTCCACTCTCGGAATATTCCTCAGCCGTATTCTGCTTCCCGTCCCCAGCTTCAAACGAAGAACCCCCGTCACCCCTAGATCCACCGATTCCCTCATGACCGTAACCACCAGCATGCCCAAACGCTTCCACTGATCCCGCGGATCCATCATGAAACACCCCATCGGCGTCATGATCACCCTCTTCCTCTTCATCCACCTCGCTGTTCCCATTACCATGATCCTCTTCGACATTCTCAGCCCCTGTGTCTTCCTCCTCGTCCCCCTCGTTCACGCCAATCTTTCCATCAGCGTAATACGGGGCGCGTGGCAGCGACTCGACCGGCTGTTCTGGCGATTGCTCGTTACCGTAATTGGCAGTTCCTTGGTGGGTCGGGCGCGGAACATCCTCCGCGGTTGCATAGGGGAGCAGAAGCGGCGTCGTTTCAGGAACACCATGCGCAACAGGTGTAGCAGCCCCAACAACGTACTGCACGGCGTCCGGTGCATGGTAGTAGCCTCTACTTCCGTGATTGGTGTACCGCACGTAGTAAACCGGAAGGCCCTGTTGCTGATTGTACACGTATCCGCTGGCAGAGCTGTCTAGATCCTTCGTGATCATCTTGCTCGACGTCATACGTTGCTCTGTCGTCGGCGCAGCGCTCCCTCGACGCGTCAGTAGGATCACGCAAACTAGAATCGTTCTCGTGAGCATGTTGCGACGGGGACACTTGTATGGGTTGGAGCAAGAGTATCGCGTAGCCGATCGGTGACCGTCGTTATTGCCGGTGAACTGGAATGCACACTGTTGTGTCCATGAATCGACTGCTTCGCCTTATATATACACACGAGAGCGTGATTCGCTGGGTGAATAAGGGATCGCAGAGTGGAACCGAGAGTATTCCACGGTCGAACTCGATAATTCAAGTACACCGTGTTATTGACGGCCTCGTAGCCTGTTCGCAGGGCATTCTAGGGAATCATGGTCGATTTGCGTAATGCATCGGCATGGTACTGGACTGAGCACTGACTGATTGCGCTTAGGAATCCTTTGGGATGCTTTTGATCCTGACCAACGATCATTTCATCCTGTTTTCGCATCCTCAGGTAGGTAATCAAAGATAGAGTCTAATTTTCGACTTGAAATTTAGATGGGAACATAATGTTTACGTCAATGCACATCTTTATGTGTGTTGAGTTATGGGACTTGGCAGGTGTGTTAGGTTATGGGAGAAATTTGATCCATTATCAATTTCATTTTGTGTATTTTTTTATATTGCGTACATGTTCTGTGTACATCATATGTCACCAGAAATACTATCTCACATATAAATATGTGAAAGATTTATTGTTTCTTGTCATAGGTACATGTAAAAATATTTGGAGAAATATTAAATATCGTTCGAATCATGCATATCATATAACATTAATGACAATTCAAGAGGTGTGAGTCCCTAGGAAATATGAATACAAATTTAAATGCACCCTAAAAACATACGAAATAGGTTAATTTTAATTAACTACAGTATTTAAAAGACTCATCGTTAAACATTATATTTCAAATTGGAAAAAAGACGTATTTCCCTATGTACTTCTTAAGGATGTATATTATATACTTCAGTGTAAGGAACCATTGTTTAATGATTATTTTTAAGAATTTCAAAGTTTATAGCGTGATTCGGCGGACAAAAATTTCCAAATAAATGGGAATGGTACGCTTCGATTTGCTGTGTCATCGTTGCGCAACGAGAAAATCGGGATTGGAAAATTTACGTAATTTGGTGTTTTTTTTAAAAAGGGAAACCTAGTTTCAAGTGCAAACATAAACGGAATGTGAAATGCAATTCGAGGCTAGCGTGTTTTTATTGCTCGCAAGATCGTTCGTGTGAAATTCTATCCCGCGTGATCGGGAAATTTCGAAAACGATTTCAAAAACGCGTTAGATTCGATGTTCAATGTTTGCCGATATACGAGACACCGATGGGCCCAATTCAACTGTACATCTCGTAAAAAGATTGGCGTTACGCAACAAAATTCCCGTGGTAACATAACCTCACATTCACGCTGATCGTCAAATTTTCTGCTTCCATAGTTTTCTATTCTTCCATTACACGATTCTACAGTTCTTATGATTCAGAGCAAGTATAATTGACGGATTATTTACGTATGGGTAAGAACTTATCTAGGTTATGAATGTCTTGCAAGAAGTCTACAATTTTTATTACAGCGCTACCTGGCGGCACACGTGTGAAGCTAAACATATCGAATGCTTTATCCTTTAACACTAGAACTACTAGTTTCGGCTACTAAAAACTGAATATTAATTCTTATCTGCATAAAAATTATGTTACTTATTATTCACGTGGAAATGTAATAACGTACATTAATTTTCATTGCAAGTCTTTAGTTATCACTGCCTATATACAATATACTTCCTTACTTTATTACCTTACGTAGTACTATATTTTATTCCTCTCTCTACAGGTAGTTCCTGTGTTAACCATAAAACGCAAAGAATTGATCTCCAAGAATCCACCAACTCGTTTGCTTCGCCGCAAGAAACCACAAATCTTACGCAAAGCGCGCGAAGGAAAGTGTTCCAAACACCTATCGTTTCTCTAATCCCGCCAGACCCATTGTTCTCCCAAGGCCAACTCAGTTTCTCTCGCTTCGCTAAGGACCATCGAACGCAAGATTAGGCACACGACCTTGGCGACTCGACCCGTGAAAGAACACCGAGGTCACGCGAAAATTTCCCCGTGAAATCGAGCAAGTATCCACGGGTCCGGTCCTTTCGGACGCATTACTGCAGCCATCCTGAGCGAGAGGTGATCGCGTCAGACCGCTCGAGCGGCTCGCGTGACGTATAAAAGAGCTCGGGTGATTGCGCCGCGATTGCAGTAGAACAGAACGCGTTTCCGCGAGCCAGCGTGCTTAGAACAGCACCCAGGCCGAGTCTGTTACATCTTATTGGACATGCGATCGCACTAGTCCCGCAAGCCGAACCCCGAGACTCGAACGAGCTGAAACAAAGCACCAGTAGCGCCATCTAGGGACCCAGAAGATGAGAATCTTCGTGAGAGGCCGCCATGCCGTCTACGCGCTACTCTGCGTGTGCGTGCACTGTACCATCGCGCAAACTGACGATGTGCACCAGGCGGATTGGAAGACCCACGAGTCAGAAGCTATCGAGAAGAGACCTGACTTCAGAGCAGTATCCGACGATGATTTCTCACCTGAAACGAGCTTCCAGAAGAAGCTGATCCCCATAAAGGAGCCACGAGTGGAGAAAAATTTCCGAATGCTGACCTTACCCCTGGAGCCTGACGCTGAGATGCTACCAGCCCACTACACCGGTGTCAAACCTCCCGGTGTCGACCATATGGAACTGAAATACGCGGAATCCCAAGTCTCCCATACTGTCCCCAAGTCTGAGCCATTGATAAAGACCACGCAAGTTGCAGACACTCGGCAAGTAGCCAAGAAGCATGAAACGAAGGCTGGCAGTGGTGAGACAGGTCAACAGAAGGCTTCGTCCTATGAGGCAGGACAGAAAGGTGATCGTTTGAAGAAGAAGAAGAAGACTAAGTATGTTGAGTCTGGTGCAAAGAAGGGAGCCCATGGTAATCAGGAGAACAGTTCAGGGTCTAAGGCTGATCACGGAGGAGGTAACAGGGGAGCCAATTATCAGACGAAGAACGATGGTCACGTGGATCATAAAGCAGGTGGCTATCGCAACGTCTATCATAAGGACGAGTACAAGAAGAACCACGATTTTTACGACAACGACGACCACGGTGGCCACTCGAAGAAGCACGGAAGGTACAACGAGAAACACGTCGCTATAGAGGGTACGTTCAAGAGAGGTGGCGCTAGTGATGCCAACTTCGGCGAGGCGGAACACCATAAGCAAGGAATATCAGGGAACTCTCGAATAAATGGGGAAAGCAAGGGTCAGGAGATTCGCCGCGGTTACGATGGGTTCCTTCAAAACTTTCAGGGATTCGCGAAGCAGACGGGCAGAGATAACGGTAAGAGGTTTGGCTTCGGTCAGATAAAAGTGCGTTAGCTCGTGTGCGTAGAGGCTACAACTGTATACGTGTTACAAAATGGTTATATACTGCTTCATGATCGATTGTTGTTTTATGGGTATGAGTGCTCTTAATTTGTTCTACTCCACTTAGCGATTCAACATATTGATATCTGTAATGCAATGAACGAGAGGAGGGTATTAAATGTACTGATTAATTGTTCTGATGTACTCGTGCAGATAGAACGACACTCGTAGATTGATTCTGTTATAAAGTTCCTGAAATGCTAGTATTAATATTGGATACAAATGTAAATTTAAATATTCCCAACAAACGTAAATCCATTGTATGCACTGAACTGTTCAGCATTTAAATCTGTAAGTGATAATAAATATCGTTTCTGGTTATAAAGAAGATAATTTATCGATGACAACAATAGGTATATATATAGTATATATAATTATAATTCGCAATAGAAATTTGTCATCGATAATGTGAAATATAACCAAATTCTCAACGACATGTCAACGGATAAATTTTTCGTTGCAACTCATGGTGATTAATTCGCTTTATTTGCATACTCGTCTAAATCTCGTTTCTTACCAACAACGCATCATTTAGCGATCAACCATCTATCACGCAGAAACAATCGACAACACCCAACATCTACATCACTGTCCAATCAATATCCTATCAACCACGCATCCCCAGCGACCCTCGAAACGCGAGGGCAAGATTCATCGTTAAAAAGTCCGGTCGCCATGCTGCGATATCAATTCTCCTTCGCTAAACAACACGCACTTGGTTATCCAGGAAAAATCAATGTATCTCTTATATATCCGTGTTATTCCCCAATTTTCGTCTGTCTATCCGCTAGCTTCAGTGGCAACCTTGCCACGGTGGTTCAACGTTTCTCATTTCAAGTGTCATCGATTCGACGAGCGAAACCGTGGATCCAAAATCTGCTCCCGTATTTGCGTGTAGTTCATCAGGAACGTATTGTTCGGTTCCTTTTTTCCCTCGCTGCTTTTATTTATACGACGCGAGACGATGATTCGGCAGCGCACGGGATCGTATCGCTTCGCGCGTCGGCAAGCGGGGCCCAGCTTGATTAATGGATATTAATAATGCTCGGCATTGTTGCGCCGATAAATTGCAATCTTTCGGCGTATCGGGTGAAATGAGAATAAAAGACGGTAATTGATGCAAGCGCATCTACCCGCTTTATGTACCCGCCGTTCTCTCGTTGCTCTTGTACCAACATGGCGGTCTCCGGTGTTCGTGTATCTGGCAACGTTCCTGAAATGGATAGATGCCTTTGCCCTATCCCATTCAGGATGTTATTTTAGGTATGCAAGGTTCTGTAAACAATGTTAAATATGCAGCGAGTACCGAAACCATTGTGAGGTTATTAATTATTTGAGGATATCAATTTTTATTCGGAGCAGAAGTTGATTATACGTAACAATTGCATGTACAGTATTATGTACGTGAATATTCGGTACAGTTAGTCCTATTTTTAATGTATATTGAACATGGTATAATTCCTATTTTCTTATTAGAGGATATTGTCGAAGTAATAGTCATATGTTGTCAAAAAATGAAGCAAGTATGTCATTATAAAAATTGCGAGATAGTAATAATTTTAATTAAGAAATTAAAATATCCTATATTTCATTGACCAATAAAATCAAAGCCTAAGTATCATAAATATTTGACCGCCGACACGAAAATTTGTAATTCCAGAGAATTTAAATGTGAGTAAGGATTTGAATCCAAACATTTGCAGCTCCTAACCACTTGGCCTGTTAATAAAATCAGAAACATGTTAAACGTGCACGTTTCCCGTCGACCCATTTAGTCATTTCTATGCTTCAACTATTTCCCTGGCGCTGTACGTTTCCTCACATAAGCACGTTGAAATGTGAGCGTACGATTTGCACGAATGTGTATCGTAGGTATACACTTGTCTCTATGATACCTAAGTGTACACGCGTTTGTAGACCGGTGAAAATTCCGCCGCGTCGGTGCACGGCCCACGATATCCCTAGCATGTGATTGCACGCGCGTGTGTTCGCTCGCCGAGACAAAGGTGGCGGTAGCGTGCGCAGAGGTGAACCGTGACTGCGTCTGTGTACACGCGTCTAGATAGCCGTATATCGGAGGCAGTGAAACACGGCGCGAGTAATACATAAATCAGCTGGTCTGCCGGCTGCCGTATCATTTCGTACAACGGCTATGAGTGAATAGAGACGTGTTTGAGCTATCGTTTTCCCTGCTCTTTCTGAATCTAACGCAGCCCGCGGGTTCCTGTGCCTTTTCGCATATTTAAGCGTGCATCGCGAAGTGAATACGCATCGTATACAAAACGAAGCTACTTACATACGAGCGGCTTCGTCGCGATAAAACGATACGACTAATACGTTCTTATAGATATAAATCTACGATACGAATCTCCGAATCAAATCGAATCGAATCGTCGAGGCGAATCGGTTAACTCGTTATTAATGGTAAATGTGAAATACGCCGGAGAAAGATTAACGAAGCGCGGAAGATTAATTCGTGCGCCGAACGTTGCCGAGTGCTCCCGAACTTTCCCGACGCGGCGCCGGACAATGCACGCTCGCTGTTTACTTCGACGGCGACCGAACGACGCGTCGATTTTACGGTTATCGAATTAATTCGTGGCGAGTCCTGTGTCGTGTTATTCGCGTGTTATTTATTCTGTGATGTTCGTGCAGCTTCGTGTGCACACGTGTGTGTATAGTTTATCGCGAATCGCGGTGTCAGGGACGCGTTATTCTGTGACATGTGCCGCTCGATTCTTTTGTTGACGTTTGAACGGTTGTGTGAATTCAGGTTACGAGACGTTCGACGAGAAGCGAATTCTTCGCGTACACTTATACTTCAATCGGTTGGAAGTAAGTTATATATTGGTCGATGCATGCAACGTGGGGATTAAAGAAGATCGTTATTTTATTGAACAAAAGTACTGTGTAAATCGACATGGCAGCGTCTGCGTTGGAAATGTATATGACTTGTATCGCCAAATGCCTCACACATGTCTCGAGATACAGTCGAATCGGAACGGGAGAGGAGAATTTCCATTTCACGGCAAACAATTCGCGATTGGAGTGCGACGTAAGTACATTTTTAACACCGTCTGTAATCATACTTTTTACTAACCTATATGAAAAAGTAATTATACTATTGACATTTGTATTTACAATAATGTCAATACAATATTCGCGGATATTATATTTTTTAATATTTCAACCCTGTGTACACATATTTTCAATAAAATATTGTGAATTCAATAACAAAATGTGAAATCTTTTAATCACATTTTGTTTAAATGTTAATATAATTATGTTTTACGTTTCTGTATAATTTAACTTATATTTCTGCTTCTTTATCCCTCATCCATTTTAATCTCATTATTTACCGTAAACATCAAATTGATTGCTTGTCGTATATTTTGTTCTTTTAATTACACCAAAAGAGATGAGAGGATATTCGTATTATGTTTTCCACAATTGTTGTGTAATATTGAAGAACGAAAGCTATTTTCTGCTCTATTCTTACGTATCAGGATAAACCAGCTTTTAGAACTCGTTTAGCCCTACCTTCCGATTACGAAAGCGTAGCAGACTTCATGTGCGAATCGTATTACAAACACGAACCGGTAGTCACTAATATCGGCCTAGAGGGCACAGAGGCGCCACCTGTTTGGAGAGACATGATGCTGGAGGAAGTAAAAGCCGGATATCGGAAGAACTGCATCATTGGTGCTGCCCTAAACTGCGTAACGTACGCCAGTGAAGCGAAGAAGCTGTATAGTTTAGCAGAGAGTTGCGACGAGGGCCCGATTCGTGACATTATCAAATTTTTCGGATACATAGCCGAGGCGCCCAAACTTTGGGACCGCTACTGCGTCAAAGGTGTCTTCGAACTGTGCAGCATAGCAATAAGAAATGATTCTAAAGAGACTGGCGTTGCTAAGAGACTGGTGCTGGAAAGTTGGCTCCTAGCACGCGATTGCAGCTACCGCTTGTTCCGCATGGATTGCAACAATGTGTAAGCTGCATCCCATTTTTGACACGCTTGAAATTTCACGGAGTTTCCTTTGTGGGTTTTTTTTTAGAGACCTCAGGTACAGAAATCCAATACCGTCTGTATTTCTCAGCCGTTTTGTCTTGGGAAACACAATAGATCCGTACAAATTTAGTTAAAATCGTTTACACATTAGCACAAAATTTAACCTACTTAATTATGAGTTAGCTAAAATCTCATTATTTCAAATTTTTATTATTTTCGTCGTCTTATACGAAAATAGCAGTGAAAATTATTTTACATTGTTTCTTTTGCAATTTAAATGTGAACACCAGCAGTTGGTGCAAGCAGGAAATTGAAACTAAAGGAGTTTCATCGATAGTTTATATTTGGGTGTAAATTAATAAAGCTCTTTTGCATATAGTTATTGCGCACAGATAGCCCGAGGTTTCGGCTGGCCAATGATTTGGAGCATACCCTTCACTCAGTATGTGAAAGACGGCAGAGTTGTATTCAATCACGTCAAGGAACCGCATACCACGTGCCAGGTGTTCGTTGATCAATTACAATATTGCGAAACCTACCTTCCTCCTTATAAGTCGTGCAAAAAGATGACATCTACTCAGTATAAAAAGTGAAAGCATAAAATAAACGTTTACTTCTAAATGAAATGTCTTTCATTGACGCTGATAATTATCGGAGTATTGAATATTATTAAATTATATTAACGAAAAATGTTGTGTCTGAATATGAAGCATTAAGTAAAGGTAGAAAGGCACGAAATTGATTCATGCAAAGTCTCAGGAATACTGAGAGGTTTCACAGAAGGATACATAGAGAATCAAGATTTTTATATTCCTGAAGATCCTGAGATTACCATCCCAATTCCTAGATCTTGATTATTCCATACTTCCGATCGGAGAATGGTCAGAAACCAGCTAAGATCTCCAAATCTCTTAGGATTCAGAGAACCACTTATGACTACCAAGTATGGAACAATATCAGATTCACATAAAAGTCTTTAATACGTTTGATCCTACTCGTACCAGGTTCAGGTTCCACTCATTCTTGACTACCACAAATGAAGCTGATACCAGTTATTCTTCTGCTATTCTCATTACCTATTTTAACTTCTTCTCAGTTTATCAGTAGCACAAATACACTGCTACGGTCTACAAGTACAGCCTCATTATTGTACTACTCCTATTTTCGGCTTTGCAGCTTCTGTTGCATCGTCTATCACTCTCCAATCTTTCTGAACCTCGGAAAAACAATATGGCTGGTGGTAACTCGAATATACTTCACCCATTCTCATTTTAGCCACGACCAATGCTGGTTCGTCGACCGGAACCTATCAGCGTCGCGAAAGTTCGCCAATCGAAGAGAATAAAGCGGTGGTGTAACATTCAAATGAAATTCTCGATATTTGACTTGTAAGCCCCGTCTCAACACGAAGCCGGGTTTCGAAGCGCGACTTTGGTGGACGATGGAATTACAAATGTCGGGAGTGAAAGAGGGACAGAGCGACGGAGTTTGCAGTCGGGACGAATTCGGTTACTAAGTTCACCCCGCGAAATGAAAGCCCGACATCGCGAAACGTCAATTGAACGCGCTGTCACGACCGCAGGGGAGAAATAATTGTCGTCGAACGCGGCGATTCGTCGGTGTAACGAGGTTCCGCCGCGGAATGAAACCGATCTGCGGCACATAAATCGCGTTCCGTGTATTTTTACTGTCGACAGGTTCGAAAGTGACCGGCAAATTGCCGGCCGAATTGATCTATTGCCGACTGAGTTGTCTCATTTGTAAAACAATTTCAGGCAGACGCCCGATCGTCCATTACCGGCTCTGTTATTGCCGGAATTCGGAAGCGACGTCTGCAAACACTAGCCGCCGCTATGATTTAACCATGCGATGGCGGTCGTTTTATGAGATCGTCATTCATTCGATGGGATTGCATTATATGGAATTATAAATGAGGTCGGAAAATTAGTATTTAAGAACTGTGGTCATACATGTTTTAGGTTAGGTCATATTTCCTTTGTTCTCGATATCATGCCTCATTCTGGTTGTAGGTGCTAATGTTAACGTAACAATTGTTGTTTTGTAATTTGTGGTTAAATATGACATACATATCAAATATGTTATATGTACATTATGTGGAATTATAAATTTTAGTTTGATGAATTTGAATTTGTGAAATGTCGTCATGTATGTTTTAGGTTAGGTTGGCCATATTTCCTTTGTTAAGTGTAACGTATATTAAATTTGTATATATATATAATACTTTATACTAAATATCGTATATGTATATTTTGTGAAATTATAAATGTGTTCAGTGAATTAGGATTTGTGGAATCTCATGATGCCTTTTCTAGGTTAGGTTGGCCATATTTCCTTTGTTCCTGATATCTTCATTCTGGGTGCAGATACTGGTTTTAACAGTGGAATTGCTAACTGGTAATGTGTGGTTAACTATAGCATATATAGACAATATTGAAAAAGGTTGTCTGATGCAAATAATTAGATACCTGTAATTAATTTCGTTTCCTTTTGTTAATAAAAATAAGTATTGTTTTTTTGAAAGCGATTATACGTTTCAAGTAACTCCAGAAGGTCTAAAAGCTGTCATCCTGGAGAGTTTCTTACTACTTCATTAACTTTATTGTTAAATATGTGGATGTATATCTTATTTTATGCATAGATAATAAGACACTCTTTGGAGAACACGTGTATTATAGATTGATATTCTTAATCGAAAGAAATAAGATCTAACGAGAATTGGTAGTTCTTATTTAATACTCTTATACAGTCTTAAAAGAGAACCAAAGGTCATTAGAAAAATCTGTTGTCAATAAAATGTTTCCTCACTGTGTCGCCTATTTCTACTAACTGAAATACGTTTCAGTGAACAATTAAATTCAAAAGGAATTAAATATTTTTCTGTCAATTTTGTACAATCAGCCAGTTTCACACCGCTTCCTTTCTTTTACCATTTGTAAATTATACACCCAGTAACTCGCGAAGCGATATACGAGCAGGAAGAATAGACCTTCCGCGCTGTCGAATTCCCAGAAGCCCTTGCAGGCAAGCAGACCTCGTCACACGCTGACATTTCGAACGAGTGAAATATTGTCACCCAATTTTTACGACGAATCAACGTGGAAATATAGAGACATAACCAATTCAGTCAGCATTTCTCCAACGAGTTAATTTTTAGGTTAGGTAGAACGCGTGGCACGTACTCGTTTATTCACATAACCTCTTCGTTTCGTGGAAAACGTGAAACGTCACTTGCATTTACATAAGACATTCGACATAAAAAAATCACACGAGATAAGGACCAAGACAGCACACTTTACACGTATGTATGAGAAACTGTACATTTCTAGGAGTGTAGCTGTTTTCTTTTTGAAAAAGAAGAAAAGAAGAAAAGAAAAATTGGAAGAAGTAAAACAGGTGCGTTCTGTTTTCCCATCGTCCCGGGTACACGGTGCATACGTCTATCTATAATAAACAACAACGAAGTACCATACAAAGATACACTGCGTACGGTCTTATCCCGTAAAGTATTAAGTCCTGTGCAAGCTTCCGGTCGGATGTTAAGCCAATATGTATCTCGAGACTCCGTTCGGCGAGCGGTTGAAACGGAAAAGCGCTTTTACCCCGTGTAGAACGAAAATAGGAGGAGCTCAACGAAACGCTTCGCGAGGGAACGAAATAACGACAATTACAAAAAGACCTCGCGCAGGTAACTCGATTCAATCGACGAACTCCCGAATCTTCGTTTGATGTTGAATTCCTGACGCACGTAGGTTATGACTAAGAGATCTTTCATCCGCTGAAAATTTCGCGAAATTAAATTTAAGCAAGCGTTGTAAATCAGCCTTAACCAGATGGCGCGTCATTCGTTCGGATTAAACACGATTCCTTACGATGTGTAAACCTGAGTCACGTGACGAGAAATTAACATGCCTGTCATCTTCCATTGGCACAAGATGTCACTCGTTCAGCTTCTTTTTCGAACCGTATTCGATGTGTTTAGCTGTGATAGTGAGATGAAGGTGCAGTATTTCTAACACAGAGGGATAAGCAACTTACAATCACCTGTTAACAAAATTATAAATATTAATAGTCAAAGTTACGTTTCAAATAATACCGTAACGATCGATACATTATTCGTAATTTCATTTTACATCGTTTTAAAGAATACCAGCCACTGTTTCCCTGGTGACAAAGAAACCATCGACTGGGCAGCATTGATCAGGTTACTTCTCCATTCGCAGTTTCCTTGCCACGAGTGAAATGGACCAGGTCATCAACAGGTACCGTCACATTTCGTTCGATCCGGCTGCAACGGGCTCTCAAGATCGCGTAAAATTTCATTACTCCGTTCCCAAGTCCGAGATCGTTGGAACAATGGCCGGCATAAAAGGAACGGCGCGGTGGCGCCACTTGCGCGTTGCACTGTGCCAGGGCGTAGAATCGGCTGCGAGATCCTGTTTAACGTAAAATCTCGCCGATGCAGAAGAATGACAAACGTTCTTTGCCGCCAGCCCGATATTACCCAAGGGGGAAAATTGCTTCGGCGGAATTCAAAGCGGCGACAAATCGTCGTGTCGTCGACAGGGAGAGCTTTCGCCGCCGCAGAAGTGTGGTTTTTCTAGCGGAAAGCCGGTGTCGAATTCTATCGATTTGATTCAGTCTCGAAGGGTCTTCGACAGCGTCGTCTCTTCACTCGACCAGAAGAATCGCGTTTGCCCCGAGGTTCGCTTTAATTCCTTTCTGTTTCGACTGACAATCAAGACCGGTGAAATTTCAGATCGGATAGAGAGCAGAGTCGTTCCGTTCGAAGCGAAAATACGAAGGGGAGAAATGTAAAACAGCAGTCGTGCTTTTTCATTAAGAAACAATGGCTCCCTCGCGAATGTAATAAAATTCAGTGGATTTTTATTTTATAGCTCTGTTGAGGAACATTCTTGGAACATTCTTGTCGCGATGGCACTAGTTTTAGGAATTATCGAGAGATGAATGGATAACCTCTTTTTGCTTTCGACACGAATAAGTATAGTGGGAAGAAATTGAGTTGTTTATGTAACTTTGAGAAGAATTTTTTAAATTTCAGCATTGAAACTATTCCATTATTTTAGGTTCATTTATCTATGCTAGAACTATTCTATATATTATCATTCTATTTACAAATTTAGGTAATGGATCTATAATGTATTATAAATACTATATAATAATTTAGTTGTATAATACACATGGATAATAATAATTGAATGGTTCAATACTATGGGTAATTATGTTCCTGTCCGAATAAAAGTCAATATTAATTTGCTGTATATTTTCAAAAATAGCAAAAATGAGATATTTCAAACAGTTTCGACCCCCTTTTTGTAATTAAAATAAATTATCTCGTTATTTGCTGATGTTCAGGATTTGTTTTTCAATACTAATTCATGAATTGCATTTTTAATGCACTAAATATTTTTGGTAACGTATCAACAGCTGTATGAACATAATCGGGTGTTCCAGTTATATGATATGTAGTATCCAGGATTAAAATTGATTTAACCGATTTGGGTGGTTTTGATGATTCATTTACTGCGCGATCCGTGTGTAATTTAGGAATTAT